TAGGTATCCTAGTAATAAGACAGGCATGTCTCTATGACTCCCTATATTAAATTCCAAATATATTAAAATGTGGATGTTGTGATACAGTCCTAATCAAAGCCAGAGTGTAGGGTGGAATAATATACTCCCAAGAGAAACTTCCTTATACAGATAGAAATGGACAATGGACAAAAGCAAGTCCTGATGCAATGCCTACAGTGTCCTGCTGTGGGATGGTCTTTCTGTATGCTGTGAATGTGTGTTGCTCTCATTGGTTGATAAATAAAGCTGTTTGGCCAATGGCGAAGCAGAATAAGCTTAGGTGGTACAATCAAACTGAAGATGGATATGAAGAAGGGGGAGCTGGGGAGACGCCAGCCAGCCACCAAGGAACAAGATACCAGAGAACTGGTGAGCCACAGACCACGTGGCAATAAATAATTAGAAATGGATTAATTAAAATGTAAGAGCTAGCTAATAATAAGCCTAAGCCATCGGCCAAACATTTATAATTAATATAAGCTTCTGTGTATTTATTTGGGGTTGGGCAATCGGGACGAAAAGGCTCTGCTTCCATTTACAGTGTCCACTTATGACATTTATCTTGTTTACTTTTGAAATTGTTTCATTTCTCTTCCCTTTCCTTCCTCCAAATTTTCCCAGACTTCTCCCTGCTCTTCTTCAAATTCCTAGCCTTTTTTCAATTGTATACATGCATATATGTATTTGTACACACACATTCTTAAATATAACATGTTACTTGCACATGTTTTCAGAGCTGACCATTTAGTACTAAACAACCAACTGGTATGCTCTTCACTGGGGTGGACCACCTCTCCCTCTCCCAGCTTTACTCTGTTGCTTGTAGTTCTTTGTATAGGGTTGAGGCCTCATAGGCTTTCCCCCAACCAGCTTGGCATGTTTGTTGGTGTCCTTGTTCAGCTCATGTTAGGGAAGTCATGTTGGCAAGACATTACAGATATAGTTTTTGATATTACTAGGAGACACAGACTCACAGTAAACTCCCTGATCCTCTGTCTCTTAGAATCTTCCTGTCTTCACTTCTTCAATGTTACCTTGAGTCTTCGGTGTGGGAGTGTTCTGTAGATGTATTATGGCCTTTATCTTTACTAGGCATCCTGGTGAAGGTGCTCTCCTGGGAGAATTGGCTTTTTGTGTGTGAAATCTAAGAGCTTCTGTACTTGAATAGTGAGAGCCCTTTGTTGAGCATAGGAAGGGGGAAAACTGGTTCTCATGCCTTGATGCTCTGACTTTTACAAGTCTGAGGCAGTAATGAACAAGCAATGGGGGTGGTTTGCAGCAGTAAGCGAGGGGTTGGGTTAGGGGGGTCTGTAAGAAGCTATGTGTGGGCAAGGTCTGTCACTATGAGATTGCTATGGCAGAGGGTTCCCATTAGAGTGTGTGTGTGTGTGTGTGTGTGTGTGTGTGTGTGTGATGTATATGTGTTGTAGAATATTATTTAAAGATGTGTTACATTTGTTTCTGCTGTGGAATATTTGTTTAATGATGCAAAGATGTGTTGCATTCTTTTATGTTGCATTTGTTTAACTCTGTTAAGCCGTGTTACTTTGCCTGTCTAAAACACCTGATTGGTCTAATAAAGAGCTGAATGGCCAATAGCAAGGCAGGAGAAAGGATAGGCGGGGCTGGCAGGCAGAAAGAATGAATGGGAGGAGAAATCTTTGAGGAAGATTGAGGAGCAAGAAGAGGAAGAGGAGGACGAGGACGACATCGGGGGCCAGCCACCCAGCTACAGAACCAGCAATAGAGTAAGAAAGAAAGGTATATAAAATAGAGAAAGATAAAAGCCTGGAGACAAAAGATACACATGGTAATTTAAGAAAAGCTGGCTAGAAACAAGCCAAGCTAAGGCCGGACATTTATAAGTAATTATAAGACTCTGGGTGATTTATTTGGGAGCTGGGTGGTGGGCCTCCAAAAGAGTAGAAAAAAAAAAAATACCGACTACATATATGCACATGTGTCTGTGTGTTCTTGTATGGGAGGTGTGAAGAGAGATGTGTCACAATGACTGTGTGGAGCTCAGAGGACTTGACCTTTTACCTTTGGACAAGGTCTCTTTATTTTGTTTTTGGCTGCTACATGTCAGGCTAGCAAGCCTGTGAGTTCATGGGGAGTCTCTTGTCTCCACCTACCACCTCACCATAGAAACATTGGGATTGCAGATGACTGCTACCACATTTGGCTCTGAGTGATTCTGGGGATTCAAATCTGGGTCCTCAGGCTTGCACAGACATTTCATCAGTCCCACCCCAATTACTCTTTTATCAGCAAGAAAAAAAATGCAACTAGGTAACTGAGGAAAGATTATGAATGTTGACCAGCAACTTGTTTTCCTCCAACACTCAGTAAAATCACCTTCTACACTCACTTCCATAGAACGTCATGAGGCTAGTGGTGTTCAATTTTACCAGCGTTCAGCCCACTCCCCGGCTTCACTGCCAGTGGCCACAGGACATTTTGAGGTACTCAGGGTAGGAGTGTGAGATGGAGTGCCCCTCTCCACTAGCAGGTAGAAGGGAGGACTGGTTTGTGGACTTGAGAAAACGTGAAAGGACTCTTCCAAACATCTGACAAGTGCAGGCTCAGTCATTGTGGTTCAGGGTGTAAATGGAAATCATTTATCTGTAGTCCCAGTTTGGCAAAAACCTCAATGTGTAGTTATGGAAACTAGATTCCCTGAGCAAAGGCACTCTAGCGCCTGAATTCTGCCTTAACGGACTTAATGTCCACATGCTCTATACGTGCTTCTGAGGGGCTGTTTCCTGAGCAACAGCAGGCATGCCAATGGTCAATCTGAAGTTTGATCACACTGTGTCCTAGAAGATTAGGTTTGCACATGGCAACTGAACAGATCGTTGACATTTAATTTTTTCCAGCTAAGTGACACTGTCCCACCTACAACTTTGCAGAAATGGTAAGAAAGGAGAGTGGAAAGAGGTGCAGAGGAGAAAGGAAAGATTTAGGTAATTTTACATAGAATAGCTTATCAACAGAAATAGCCCAGCCCAAAAACTGAGGTGGCTGATCCTAAATTTGAAATTCAGATTTAACCAGCAAAATTCATTCTATAATAAATTATTGTTTGCAATGTGCAAGTTGATGAGGAGCATGTAAAATAAGTGAGTCACTGGGAATGTGGATAGTGGGGTTTACTCTTTAAAAAGTAAGTATGCCTTGACTATATATATTCAAAAAAGCCAGTTTCTTAAGCCATAGACATAATAGTACCTAAACAGAATCAGTAGATCTTTTATGTAAATTGGAATACTGTAAGGATTTATGGGTATACTAACTACGTGGGTATACAAAGTCCTTGTCCTTGAGGTTCAGCTGTTTGCAAGTAACTCAAGGCAGTATGTGCCATAATGGTGTGTGTATGTGTGTGCACATATAATTTTGCCAGAGGGAATCCAGAATATCTTTATAAAGTGTTGAGCTTACTCTCGACAAATGTGGCTTTCAAGTGGAGACTGCTAGAAAAGATTACACACAAAAGGCAACAGGCACCAAAGTACAAGCTGCTGCGAACTACCTGGTACAGCTCAGTCTGGAAAATGTTATTAGGAAATAAGATGAGGAAGACTCAGTAGCCCTAAAATGCTGTGTGGCACACTCTAATTAAAAGTCATCTTAGAGCCATCAGTCCAGTCCCTGACCAGTCATTTGTCTTGTCTTGTCCTCATAAACCTCAAGCCTCCCATACAGCTTCCCTTCTTTCCAAGCCCTGTAAGAGTTCTTATTATTCCTCATTGGCTGAGCAGTTTGGCTCATAACCAATAAACCAGAAAGCTAATTTAAATGTATTGGGATTTATCCAAATGTTAAAATGAGTTCTGGGCTTTGTCTGGACTACAGCTCTAATCCTAGAACAGGTATCTTTCTGGAAATACTGCCAGCAAGCTAAAGTCATCCACTTCTCTCAGTAGTACTCCATGTACAGACTAATCAGCTCTGTGTTCTAATCTGTAGAGATGCTCCTGCAATTAGTGAACTAAAATTACCTTCACTGAATGGAGTCTTCAGAGGCCCAGCCTTCCAAAGCACAAAAGTAGGGCAGCTGCAGTCAGAAGTTTTAGTAGGCTGATGTACTCCTTCCCCTCAAAAAGACCACTGCTACTCTAACCCACTGCTGCAAAAGTGTGGTAATGCTGGATGGCCCACTAGACACTTCCTTGAGACTATTCTGAACATTGATTTGACTGGCAAAATGAGCCAGGAATAATAAGCAGACTTTGTAGGTACAGCAGAACATACAAGACAATGTTCAGTCATTGCAACAATTTTCAAGGAAGACTTTATTTGCAATGCTTGATACTTGACAATAGCAATTGTTCTGATATACTTATTTGGAAATCTGCTAGTTATTTATTACATATTGGTATCACCTGCTCTGTTTATAATGTAGCCAGTCTTCAATTCTGCCAGGTAGTTTACATTACTTTCATTCTAGAGATGCAGTGGGTTCTAAGAGATTTAATGACCAACATCAGATAACCAAAGGGAAAAGCCAACACTCCATCTACCTTTCCAAGCGCACTTGATGTTCTCTGAAACACCTTTCTCTCTCAAAACTACTAAGACTGCTTCTTCCTATTACCTCAGCAAAAAGAAAAAAAAGGTGGTAACTTCCAGGAGGCTGAGTAGAAGCTACAGATAGGTTAGCAATATAAACATTTCCAAAGTATCACAAAGCCCAAGCCAGAAGAGAGAGAAAGGGAAGACCCATTACTGTTGACTTTCAATTGTTGTATTCAAAACAAAGACACTAAGACATTCAATTGGAAGCCCCTCCCCTCCATAATACCCCATCTCTATCTACAGCATTTCCTCATACACTACTGATAAAGAGCACAAAGTGCTAAATATTTGTCTTCTAAAGGGCACGAGGCAGTGGCAGAAGTGTGTACAAACTGGTATACTTTTTCTACCAGCAACCCCATCCATAGCATTCAAGGAAATAATTAGGAACACAAGGGTTAGCAGCACAATGTTCTTCAAAGCAGTTTATTAGTGAAAAACTGGAAACCTAAAAATTCAACAGTAGTTTAATAAAATGTGGCACATATGAAGAAATATCATGCAGCCATTAAAAAGGATGTAGAAATATATATGACACAGCAAGATCATCATGGTACTGTTTGAGTGGAAAAAAATTACAAAACAGCATGTACAATTTGATCCCATTTAAAAAATCTCTAAGTGTACAGAGAGTCTGGAGGCCACACACCTGTCACAGCACTTCTCCTCAGATGGTGGAATTGGAGGCCATTTTTCTATTTTTCTCTTTGTCAGCATATTATGACTTGTATTAATAAAAAAGCATTAACAATTCTTAAAAAGTCTACTTTGATGTAGGAATAAGAGTACAGCTTAGCAACCTGAGGTACAGAGATGTAGATATGTTAGTCTATACTACTTCACTGGTTTGTCTAGGTGTTTTGATGCTAAACACCAGTTCAAAGGCACTGTGTGGAAATATGGTGGTTAGAGCTCATCTTTCTTTAAACCAGTGGTTCTCAACCTTCCTAATGCTGCCACCCTTTAATACAGTTTCTCATGTTGTGGTGACCCCAACCACAAAACCATTTCATTGCTACTTCATAACTATAATTTTGCTACTGTTATGAATTGTAATGTAAATATTTGATACGTAGATGGTCCTAGGCGACCACTGTGAAAGGGTCGTTTGACCCTTGAAGGGGCTGCAACTCCCAGGTTGAGAACTACTGCTTTAGATAGATGGGTCCACATTCCTAGAGATCTTACACGGCATCCAGGTCCTGGCATTCTAAGCAATACTTTCCTTACTGACACTAAATGCATCCTTCCACCTCATACCCACTTGTAAAACTGATCTGACAGTTTCTCAACCCATTAGAAGGCAAGAGGAAGTTTTCCAGAGATGTCAAATTGCAGGCGTCTGAGGGTGGAAGCCAGCTGTTAGCTCTGCAGTGTTTCTCAACAGGACTGCAGCAGGATCACACAAATGGCTTACTGTACAACTGGGGGGCCCTGCTTCCAGAATTTGGCTCAGTAGGTCTTAGGGGGTAAGACACAGGTATTAGGAGTTTCTTTTTCCTTTTACACAACACGTATTTATTGAGCATATATGTGCTAAGAGTAGTTTATGATTAACAGAATTAAAGTCTCTATCTTAGGCTACATTCTAGAGTGACAGGTACACGCTAAATAAATAAATTATAAAAACAACATAATTACAATTAACAGAACATAATAAAAGAAAGTGAAATTCCTTTTTCGTCTTAAAATATTTAAAAAGCTGTCACATGGAAGATTAACATTACGAATTCCACAGGCCCATGTAGACAAAAGTATAAATAAGGTAGAATATTTGAAAACAGCAATTAGCATTTCAACAAGTTTCCAGGCAATGCAGATACTGCTGGTTTGAGGTCTGGTACTCCAATAGGACACAGTAGGAGAGGGCAAGCATGGCACTTTCCTTAACTTCATAGTCTCACGAGGAGACGAGTGCCATGCAGGGAAGGGGAGGGCCTGGAGCAAAGCTGCCTGACAGGCATTTCACTCAGGCTTGTGCAACTGGGCAACTCATTTCAAATGTCAGGTTTTGGGGAGATAAGAAAGTGGACTTCCAGGGACTGTGTGTCAGCAGCGTGGCATTCTGTGAAGACTGCACAAACAAGTTCTGTCCCACCCTCTCATCTTCTCCCTGCTACACTTTACCTCGGAAGCATCCTTCCTACACTAGATTCCCTTGGTTCCTGTTATCGGAGGTTAAGAGCAGACTGGGAGGATGGGTTGTATCATACTGGGGATGCTGGCCCTAGGTTTAATTTCTCTGTTCCCCAGAGTGAGGTCCATTCTCATTTAAGGAACCTCATTTGCAATGAATTTTTTTTTTATTAGCACCATGAAAATGTTTTAACCATAATCTTGTGGGTTAGATTACTTTAAGAACAAAGGTGGATAAAATCAATTTCCTTTTCAGTTTGTGGAAAGCCTATAAACACCTCCTTATTTATTATTTCATGAATATATGCACCCTTCACTTATTACTGTGCTACTGAATTATGCTCAGGGGCCAAGGGTTTCTTTAAATAACTATGAATTGCGCCGGGCGGTGGTGGCGCACGCCTTTAATCCTAGCACTCGGGAGGCAGAGCCAGGCGGATCTCTGTGAGTTCGAGGCCAGCCTGGTCTCTAAAGCGAGTTCCAGGAAAGGCGCAAAGCTACATAGAGAAACCCTGTCTCGAAAAAAAAAAAAAAAAAAAAAATAACTATGAATTGCACCATGAATTAATAGGCTTCCCAAGAGTATTCTTCGATGCTAACAATCTCCTTGGGCCTTTACCTGAGTAATAATTAAACTTGTAACTTTAAACCAAAACCAAAATTAAACAAAACACCCAAACAATAAAACCTCATTAAAACAACAACAATAAAAGTAAAGGAACATGCCTCAAGAATATGGTAGATTTGTGGTACAATGGGACAAGGAGCCTTTGATACTTCCACCCTACCATATGAATCCTCTGGTGGCTCAGTGCAGCCCCAGGAACCAACACTCCTGATGGAAAGCACAAGGCCCTGCTACCTACTCACACTGGGTCAGGTGGGCATAGCTGGATCTGGCTGGATTCAAAGCGGTGGAGAACCGACTTGACAGGGAATAAGCACAGCACAGGTATGAAAGATGTCCCTCTAGTCCACTAGTTGCAAAGCCCACACAGTATGGTGTCAAGAAGCTACAGGGACTGGAGAGGGGGCATCTGTGTTTATAAAATGTTTACTATGCGCCAGGTCTTTGCTTAAGAGCAAAAGACACAAAGTAACACTTGTCTCCTATTAGGTGGCATACTTACTACCCCCATTTTACCTTAAAAACAAAACAAAACAAAAACGGCAGTTATAAATCTGAGTTGAAACCCAAGGAGCCCAATATTTGAGGAAGGCTAGATATGAACTCAGGATCAACTCACACCATATTTACATTTTCTCCTGTACTGTTCTATTTCCTGAAACCTTAATTTGCTGAACTAAAGCTACTGTTTAAACTCACCCAACGTTTTGTAGTCCCTCAAAACCTAAATTTGGACAAATATAACAGATGGTACTAAAAAAGCTTTATCACTTGATTCCATAGAACACTTGTCGTCTTGAGCAGTTTTTGGAGTTCTTTAAGTACGTAACTCAAGTATGAGTCAGAACCTTACACAACTATAAACCTGCAGAAGAATGTATCTTACCACATAGAGATAAAGGGGCTCTTAAAGCTGGACCAAGAACTTGATTTTCCACGTATACAAGCTCTTAGGTACTCTTAACACAAATGGATGTTTAAAAATTCCATTTAAATATCCACCTTCTCAGAGTTGAAAAGTTTACAATTCAAGAACCTCTGCATAAATCAACTACACTTTTGAACTTTATTGTTAAGCAAATCTGAACAAACTTATGCTCTCTTGGTTCCAGGCCCAGTACAGCTTTTTCTTTCTACCTGGGTTTACTTCTGACTTCTTAGATCTGAATTAGGTGATGCCTAACACAGTATTTATTTTCTATTTCTTCCATCATAATATTAGTCCTGTTTTAGGGTTTTTTTTTTTTTTTTTTTTTTTTGGTATTCAGGAGCATCTTGTTCATAGTACACTTGGTTGATCAACAAAATACCTGGTCCTCAACCAGTATTTTTTGAATGGATGGATGGATGAATGAATGAATGAAAGAATGAATGAGAATTGAAGACCTAACAAAAAATTTCTCAACTGGCAATTTACAGCCACTATTGCTGATGTACAGCATAGTCCTCATAGCAAGTCATTATAATGTGTCATTAGTAATTTCCAGAGGGTGTACTTCATAACCAGAGACCCAGATGAAGACAAACTACATTCATTGCATATGATTTACCCTATAATGAATGCTACTGCACTAATCCTTATTTTTGTATACATTTGTTCAATAACAAATCTTTACTGTAGCATAGTATGTTCTTAATGGATGCAATTCTGATTATGTATCAAATCGTGCCAACTGAAAAATCTTATGATTTTCTTCATGAATGAACTTGTCCCCAGTGTTCTGCAACCTTAACAACATTATGAAATAAAATAATACTTTTCAAGGACTTAGGTTTAAAAGAAATTATCCAGTAGTGTTTTAGAAATAAACAAACCCAAACCAAACCAAATAAAAACAAAACTCCAAAGCCAAGAGACCCCACTAAAGCACAGTATTTAAGTCATCTGATTCCTATTGGGTAGCAAGGTAAAAATGAGTCTTTACTTTATTCTTTGGCTATTATACCTAAAAAATGAGTCACTAGAATCATGCACATAAATTTATTTTGCATAAAAGAAAAAGCTTGCCGTTAATGAAAAATTCAGTAGAAAACAATTCTTTTGTTTATAAATTGGGGCTCAAAAGTAGAAGCTGCTTGTTAGTGAACCCTCAGTAGAAAGAGAATTGTGTAAGAAAACATTCTTGTTACGAAATCTCTAACAGAAATTCTGTAATGAATTATTAACCATGCAATTTTATTGGCAGGATGGCCAGTTTCTGATGGCTTGCAACTTTTTTCAGTCCCTTATATGTCATTAACATGAAAGATACTTAAAATTGCTTTAGAGTTACTGTCTATAAATATGGTGTCATGATGGGTAGTCTTTCATGGTCTCCCTATTTAATTGAGGAGTTCTAAGTAGGTAATTGGCACCTTGCCTTTCTGATTTCCTCTCTCCCCCATTAGCCAGTCTGAATCCATTCCAACGACACTGAACACAGTGATTACCTACAAAATAATAATATTTCCAATTATTAACTATATTAAAAACAAGCATATAGCAAACAAATCAGATTTGTATTAAATATGTTTAAGTTATTCACTATTTAACGGTTTTAAACATCAATTTAGCTGAAAATTTACATTTAGCTTTAAAGTTATGTATTTTATCAGTGGCAGTTTTATACATAGGTAAAACTTATATGTATAAACATTTAAAATATTATTTCCATTGATTACTATATAAAATAAAATTTTAAGTGTCAATATTAACAACTGAAATTCATGAAACATTCATAATAAATTATTTCCAAGTCAATAATGAGAAATCTACATTTTGTTCTAATATCAGACTAGGTATGTTTGTCTGTGATATACTCACCTCATCTGCCAGAAGTGACAGTTCAGTACTGTTTGCAGCATCATAATCATAGAGAACCCTGGCCTTCCTGCTGCCACTTGATTCTTTAAGGTCATTGAGGTTGGAAGGAGAGGTGATTACTAGGCTACCTGTTGAAGCCATAGCAGAAGGACCAATCACATTTGATAAAGCAGATGGCACAGGTGTCCCAGAAGTCTGATTGTTGTTAGAAAGATAATTGGATGGAAAACTGTTGGAAAACAAACAAAAACCAAAAAAAACCAAACTCAATTTTTTAAAAGTGATTGAAGTTACTCATTCTCACCACTCGATGGCACTGTTTGCCAACTTCCTCAATGGAGAGATTCAGAGACACTAATATTTCAGTGAGCAAGTGTGAGTCCGTCTCCCCCTCCCTCTTGGGAAGCACTCAAATATAAAATCCTTCAACGGTTGCTTCAAAGCTGTTTCTCTCTGTTGACTTAGAGAACATTTTGGCTAACATTCCTTCCTGGGGTGTATGTGTGTGGATATTTAGTCTTAAATGCTGCCAAGAATATGTATGTCACATGTATATGTATGTATGTAATATTAACCTCTTTTCCTCTCTGTGAGGAAACAACAAATAAAAACAAAGAAAAGCTAAATAATAGGTAGTATTGTAAAAATGAAGTTTCCTTAATTTTTTTGGAAATAACTGGTTGCCTAAGCTCTGTCATGAAACCAATATATCACATTTTCCCATCAGCCAAGCAACAAGTATGTACCATCTAATATGCTCAGCACTGCTACTTTAAGCTCAAGACATGAGATGAACTGATGCCTTAATTACTTTAAGAGGTATACAGACTGACAGATTAAAATATTCAAGTTAATTTATTATGATTGATAATTATGATGAAATGTAAGACTCAATAGGAGAATATGGCAAATTTTTCTATTATTTTAAAAGGAATAATAAAAGTCCTACTATGAACAAGTGATGCACTGGAGCTTCCAATGCATTTTATGACTGCTTGTCCAGCAATACTGTATTGAAACAGTAGGCCTGTGCATGCTAAGACATGCTCTCCTACCGAGTTATACACCGTGCCCCATATTTATACTTTAGTCAATCTATTCATTAAAATATACAAGGCCTTTCATCTGGCAAACCATATGAAATTCATGCCTCTGGGAAAATAACATTTATTCTTAAAAGTTTGTTCTTAGCATTATATGTATGAATGCTTTACCTGCACGCATGCATGTGCCCCATACATTCCTGTGGGATCCCCCAAACTGGGATTACAGATGCTTGTGAGCCACCATATGGGTGGTGGGAATTGAACCTGGGTCCTCTCAAGAGCAAGTTCTCTTAACTACTGCCATCTCTTTACCCTGATAAAATTCTCTTTATGACCACTGTGCCATCTAGAAATCAGTCAGCCACCAGCAACATTCCCTGTAATACTTTTATTTCCTTGAGTCATGTTTCTCTCCTGTACTGCTCTTAGGGCTGAATCTAGAGGCAAACTGTGTAGGGATTCTAGGCTCCTCATTCCCACCTCTCTAAGCAACTCTCCAGACCTTCACATTATTTAACTATATACTGTCCACCATCTTTGGTTGCAAACACCTGAAGATGTTTCATTTCTAAAATGTAATTCCTGACTAAACTGAATGATACTATATCATAATTCTTAGTGATTCTAATAGCCATATACATAATTCTTCCAAAACTTTAGTCTCTTACATCCATGAACTTCTCCGTTGATTTTACACCAGATCCCAGGAGCTATCCTATCCATCCTCGTATTCACATCTAGACTTTATTAATTTCACTAACTGTAAGCTGAATAAGCAGTTTCCAGACTATTCTCTGATCACTTTTCCCTCTAGTAATTCCACTTACAGTAGCCTACCAATATCTCTGGTACTAGTTTCTTCATGCCTCTATCAATTACAGCAACCACACTGTGCTTGCATATTCCTCACGTCACTATATTCACTTAGTAAAATCTCCCTAACTCCCAGTGTTAGCACTAACGTATCTGGTGTGTCAGGAGAAAAAGAGAAACCTTTGTTGTTTTGTCTTACATTTATGAACAGAACCCCTTAGAAGGGTCCACACTGCTGCCTGGAGATTATATATTAGGTCTAGGCAATTCACTTCTGTTCTCTTGGTGACCATTTATTTGATAGCCTCTCATTTACCTTCAAAATGCCAGTGGTTCTCCCCAAAACCTTACACTCAGCTGATGGACTTGCTTCTTTTGAATGAAGAGGAATAATAATGAGGAAAGTGGCACCCACTCTCTTACTAGTGATGCCTGTCTGTATTTTGAGGGTAATCCCTTTACAGGTAGTGTATGGAACCACATCTTGAGGTCTGTATACTAGTAATCTCTAGTAATCCTTCCCTTCCATCCAGCACTACCACATGTTCTCAATCTACTTTATCATCTGCATCTACCTGCAAACCCACTCCACTGTTATTTCTGAATTTAAAGAAACGACAGCCCCTCCTTCCTCCTCTGCTGCTGCCTTACTTTCTGTTCTTTACATAAGAACTACTTGGAAACTGACCTCAACCTGCTGTCACAATTCCTCTTTCACCCACTGTTCAACCAGCTGGTCTCATGACTTAACAATCTGTGATATGATTAGGACTCTACTAGTCCTACCTCAGCACCGCAGCACAAAGCCCTTACACATATCTCTATTAAAAGAAAGCTCTGAAAGGTCACACCCACTTTAAGAACTTTAACATTTACAAACAGATCTGTAGAAATTAATAATTAATAATACCAATTCACTGTAGTTTAGATGTTAAAGCTTTCCAATTTCTAAAAAATAAAAATTAAAAAATGGCTAACTTAGTGCCTGGTACTTGTTTCCTTCTGCGAATACTATGAACTAATCATGTCCATTCTGTGTGGTTGTAAGGACTACAGAGTCTATGAATAACACATACGAAGTCTATGAAAACGTTTGGGTACAACTTAAGCCCTACAGAAGTGATAGATGCTATCCAGCTATTACTAGCAACAATGCTGCCACAACATGGCTCTATCTCCAGAAACAGCTTTTGGGTTGGTTAGTGTGATATGGATGCTCTGTTATTTGTTAATGCTAAGGTCTGCATACAAAAACTTTAAAAAAAACAGAAAAAGGTAAAGTGTTTTACTATGTAGACCAGGCTAGCGTCCTGCCTTAGCCTTTGAGTGCTGGGATTTGTCATGTACCATGACATCCAACCCTGTCTTGAAAACGCATCTTGAAATAAATGAAAGGGTTTATATTTCTCCTACTCCTGTTGCTGGTCCTTAGCAGTCATACAGTTCTTGGGAGGCAGAGAGGCAGGATGGGCAGTCTTCGTTAGAACAGAGCTGGTTTTACTTTGTAAGGTACAAAGTACCAGCGATGAAGCTTTGAATGGCTTTAAGAGAACTAAGTGTGAATGGTTAACAAACACGACTCATCTGCTGGACTTCCAGAGTGTCAGGGCACAGTGGGAAGGAAGTGTTATGGTTTCCCAGGCTTAAATTGTTCCGCCTTTAGACATGAATACTACTAGCAAAATACTAAGAACGTACAAGTGTAAAGCAGGCAGAACTACCAGATCTAAAAATAACAGGCTACAGTTGTTCTGAAGATCTGAAATTAGCTTTATGATGTCGTCTAACTTTGGTCTATGCCTAAATCTGAAGGATAGTTTCCAGAATGAACACTGCAGTGACTCTTTAAACTCTATTTCTTCAAACATATTTTCATGTTTTTCCTTCAAATGTTACCTATCACTCCTCTTAATGGTCATATAAATGCCAAACTCCTTTTTATGGTTTCCTTTTAAGGCCATTCATGGTGTAACCCCGTCAACACCTCCAGCCTTACAAACAATTCCTTTCTCCACTGAAAGGCTATGCTCTCACTTGAATGAACTATTGTCAATTACCCGAACTTGCTACTTCTCTTCTTCTGTGTCCTGGTTTGCCTGTAATTTCCCCCTTGCCTTGTTCTTCATCTAGATGACTCCCACTAAAATAACTCCACCTGGGAAACTCAGCTAGACACAGCGGGGCCATAATTAGATGTCCTCATAACACCCTGCTCTGTCTACATTCTACATGGCTGATCTACCCATGGCTAGTCCTCTACTTAGAAGGCATATTATTTCCAATGTCACCTTACAATGTAAGCTCCATCAAGGCAAGTACCCTAGCTTGCCATTTGCTGATGTAACTCCAGAATATATTTGGGGCCTACGGCAGGTATTATATAAATATTTGACAATTAAATGATTCAATTATGGGCTTGATACACTATTTTGCTTTAAAGTATATTACCATACTCGAAATAATTATGTAAGGGACTTGAGGTCTTCGGACCATTCCACAATTAACAAATACGAATTAGCTTACCTTTAGGACAACAAAGTTTTCATGTAGCCATAATCTATCTTCTTCAACCAACAGCAAAAAATATTCAGTAGTAACAGAAAAGTTAAGCCTCAAATATATCTATCATTTTCTTTATATGGCACTAAAAAACTATTCCCCTAATTATCTTCTCATCTCTGGTAACATTGATTTGTGCTAGGAAAGCAAAAAAATGATACCTCACAAGTTTTGATAATTACAAAAGGAATTGTATACAAGCTAACAAAATCCTTAACTCTTAATTCTCCTCCCTGCTATTGGATTATATATAGAAATCTTAAGTTTTTTTTATTAGGTTCATTAATTTTTCTGTGGTGTGTGTATGTACACGTGCCACGGTGGGCACGTGGAGGTCAGAGGACACTTTTCAGGTACCAGTTCTCTCTTTCTATCATGTGGGTCCTGGGACTTGAACTCAGGTCATCAGGTCTGGCAGCAGGAGCTTTTACCCACTGAGCCATGTCACCAACCACACACGTAAAAGAGCTGGACTCCTTCCATCAGGACTTAAAACAACTACGTCTTTGTGTTGGTGGTGATGTTACTGTGCAGGGCAATGAGCTTTATCCCAGCATTTTCATACACAGGTGCCATGCTTGGTTTTCATTCACTTCTCTTCTCTAATGCCCCTGCTGGTGTCCCTGGCAGCCTCGTGTTCCCTGGTCCAGGAAGTAGGACTTCTCTTGTCTCTGGCCTACCATCGTGCTGTCACGGTGCTGGGATTACAGATGCATGCTGCTGTGTCTCATTTATTCTGTCCTTCCTCAGGCTTGTGTGCCAAGTGCTTACCCACTGAGCCTTCTCTCCAGTCTCCACTCTCCCCATGCTGACTTTCATATATGAAAAGGAAATTGCTACCTTCCCAGCTGTTTCTGCAGGTCTAACATGTACTGGTAACACTGTGCATAGTAAGTCATCTGGGCTTCTACAAAGTCATTCAGACAGCGGAGATGATGGGCCTGCAATGGAAAAGTTCCAGTCAGTTCTCACAAGTTCTTCAAGTGGCACAAGCCAAAGGAGAATAAAGGATAACACTGTCATAAGGGAGGGAACCTGAAGTATCCTATTACAAAGCTTATTAATGCTCATATTCTGATCAGGCTTATTAAGACTAATTACTGGTGAATAATATATTGACACATTTTGTTTAGCCAAGAAGAACCAACATGAGGATTTATGAAATGGGAAAAATGAGTGATGAGATGTAAGAGAAAATTGACATATTTCTTCAGCTCGCTTCTAATATCTCACACTAGAAACTCTTCTGATAGTTAACTACACAAGAAAGATCCCTTCAAAGGCAGTGTCTGTTATGTAGCCAGGGTGCCTTGAACTTCACAAACTGCTCCTTAGCTGCCTAAGGGCTGTCTCAGTGTTTTGTTCAGAATGATGTAATACTCACATGTGTACTGCTGATTCCCTCAAGCAGAAGGCGGGTAATCTCTGCTTGACGATCAAATTCACTTTGAGTTATTCGTAATTCCTGTTCAGACTTAAAATAGAACATACTTTAAGGATCTCATTAGAAGATTTAGTTCACTTTACGCAGACACCCCTGGCCCCGCTGCCTGCAAATCCGCCAATATACTCCCAAGAAGAGTCTGATGATTCCCCAATTCTTTGTGTGTGTGCGGCCTTAACTGGTTTTTACTTTCTAGAACTAGCTGTGCCACCAAACACTATGAACAGAATGATTCCTCACCAACACTTGACTCCTGCCGAAGCTTAATCGTCTAAAGAGATATTATGACAGTCAAGATATTAGTATACCTTTTCTAGTATTTTGCTGAGTATTTTACAAAATCCTGAGTACCATAGTTTTATAAGTATAAAACAATATTATGTTAAAAAATTCCAAATTATTATTGTGCGCTTTTTTTTTGTACTTGAAGTTAACAACAGTCTTCAATTTTAAAGCCATAGGATTTCCACCTCTTATATTTAGTTACTAAACACTGTTGCTAAGACATCTCTTAGTTGTCCTACAACTTAACTTTCTTTCTTTCACAATTTCTAAGTATGTATAACAGGCTGTAGTCACTAACATCATTTATTATGATTAGGGTTTAAAAGTTTTTCTACCAGTTACAGCTGGTCTTCAGTGTTGTGCTAGTACACTGATTTTAAAGGAAAAAGGAAGTGCTCTAACATCCTGATTTGCATGATATAAATACTCTTCAAGTTACCAAGATGAAGTCACTGACTTTGGAAATGAGAAGTAGGTAGCACTACTGGCTTCTGTTTAGTACTGGACCAAAACAGTTCACTGGAAAATTAACAAAATCTAAATAAACTAAATACTGGCATTAGATATCTCAAAACTTTGATCAGAAGTAGTTGGCAGGAAAATGAGGAAGAAAAGTAAAACTTGGCAGCTTCTTTGAAATAATGAGCTTAACTCCACTACTGGAAATCATCGCCAGTGACAGACTCTCTAGCATAGTTACCGATATGCAGACGATTGACATCACTGCTTAGCTGTAATAAAGCAAGGTCAAACACTTTCCTTTCGTAGCCTTCTTTATCTCTTTTATCTTTTGGTGACAAAAGTGACCTCTGGGAGCCAGCTAACTAAGAAGTGCATGGTTGGTCAGTCGCTCTAATATCCCACTGGCAACAGACATGGGGAAGGGGACAAAATAACCACTGACCACTAGACCAGATTTATGAAAATAAGTTATATTACACAATAACTAAAGTTAATACATTAACTTCAAGTAAAACTCAAATACTTTAGAAGGCCTAAAGTCAATTTTATCCGGAAGGCAATGGCAAGCAGAAAAAGTTCATGAAAAGAATCTGTGTTCTTTTTCCAGAAGGCATAGAAATCCCAATCACTTCAGGTTACACTTGTACTATTTACTATTCTGCTTGATGGACTACAAAATGGCTTTTCTTAGTGGAAAAACCTCCGGCAAATCAAAGCACATGAGTTTCAAAGGCAAACTGGGCTGGTTCTACATAGGTGTTTGTGAAAGAACAATGTGACTAATAATATGGCTACTTCTGTACAAATGTAAAGAAATGACAACTTAGGTGTCAGATGCAAGTGATCAAGATGCACGACACTGAAATGATGATAATGCTTTAATGGCAAGAAAAGGAAACAAAGACAATATTAACTGATCTCATTAAAGCCATGACATTAGTCTTCTAGGTTTGAATAAAATTTAATGCTTAACTTCAGCTGAACAGCACCATCCTATGAAGCTTAAAAAGTCACACCGCACTACCTAGACTTGATATTCTGAGAAAGTGAACAGTAGGAATGAACCTCATCTCATCAACGAGTTTCAGTGTAATTTCAAGTTTGCTATAGTCAAATGTTCCGAACCGTCTAGCTACCTGACAACAGAGAATAAGCATCATCAGTTTACTGAGGAAGAAATGGCACGAGAGAGGCTTAGAGACAATGAAGTTTACTAGCAATCACTGATCTTCTAGAACATCTTTTCTTTCTGACTTCATTTACAATTAAGGTACACATTTCTAGGGGAGATCAAGAATTACTGCTAGCAAGCTACCTATTTACTATGACACTTTAACATGGGTTGGTGTATACTAAGAGCTCCTTGAAGATGTAACTTGGAAAACGGGCAAGCTATTGGGTGGTGGTATCACAACTCAGTACCTATATGCTAGAGATGCTCATCATACTTCTAACGCATTTGCTGTAACAATCTTGTTTGATACTACCTACTTAATTATGGGCTTAGGTTAGATCTTCAGGAACATAAAGTTTTTGAATTCTGTACATTTCTTAAATTATGAAAAGATAGGAGCCAAAGTATACAAAAAGAACTCAAATCCATTTAGACAAATTTCCTGTGTTTTCATATACCCTTATATAACAAGACACTTTTAAAATATAAATTTTCCCCATTTACTACACCAACCACTTTTCAGTCTTATAAACAGAAATCTTTTATGAGCTTGTATTAAGGAAAGATGCCCCAAGTGGTGGTTTGAATGGAAAATGTCCTTTATAGGCTCATGTATGGAATGCTTGGTCCACAGCTGGTGATGCTATTTTGGGAGTTGTGGTGGTCTGAATGAAAATGGCCCTGACAGGCTCATAGGGAGTGGCATTATTGGAAGTGTCATCTTGTTGGAGTAGGTGTGGTCCTTGTTGGAGGAAGTATGCCACTGGGAGTGAGCTCTGGGTTTCAAATGCTCAAGCCAGGCCCAGTGTCTTGCTCTTCCTGCTGCCTTCACATCAGGATATAGAACTCACAAGCTCCTTCTCTAGCACTATGTCTGTCTGCATGCTGCCATGCTTCCTGCTACGAAGACAATGGACTAAACCTCTGAAACTATGCCACACCAACTGAATGTTTCCTTTTATAAGAGTTGCTGTGGTCATGGTGTCTCTTCACAGGAAGAGAACCCTGAGACAGGTGTGGGAGGCCAGCTCCCACATTTTTACTCCAGGGTACTCTTGAAGAGTGAGGGTAGGAGATTTAGATAGAAGGATAAAGGGGAGAGAAACAGACAGCAACACAGGATAGCCTCAGGAGGGCCTGGATCCTTATCTACCAGCCCCTCTGTCTCTTCTAAATAGCTATTTATAGGAATGCCAAGGGGTGGAGCAAAAGAACTCCCCCTTGTATAGCTAAGTGTAGACCCTTCCAATCACCTAGAAACCATGCACATGGTCAAGCAATCCTCTAATGCAGCTCTGCTGGGTAAAACAAGCTCCGATTTCATGAGGAAACCTTTGTGGGCCCTCACAGACAGGAGGCTATGAAATGTTTGGAAGGCGTACCTTGCTGGAGGAAGTACAACTCTGTGGGTGGGCTTTGTTAGTCTATAGCCTTGTCCTACTTCCTGTTTTCTCTTTCTGTTTCCTATGATCACATAAAAAGGTGATCAGCCAGCTTCCTGCTCCTCTTGCCATGTAATGCCTTCCCTGCCATGATACTCTCTCTCCCTCTGAAACAATAAGCCAAATTAAACTTTCTACCTTAGGTTGCTTTTGGTCATGGTATTTTTATCAGTACATCCTGATTTCATGGCTCAGCTTCTATTTTCTCACATGCTGTTCTGCCCTCTTTTCATGCTGGAGGTTCAAAAGAACTCAGAAGCCAGGATGGGACCACACTAAGTTGACTAAGATACCACACAGGAAGAGGAGACCTTAAGTCAAGCATTTCCCTTGCACTGCCAAACCACACGATCAATAGCTCAACACACTATGCATGAAACACACTGTAGAATCAGCAATTTTATAACTGATAAAATAAAAGTTAAGGCTTCCAAGCTATTTAAATATCTGAGGTCACAGTCAGTACCTGCCCTCAATTACCAACATTATCCTCATTTGGAATGCAGACTTTGGTAAGTCTAAGAGTAAATGACAAATGACTGAAGACCTAAAGTAACATCTGATATGAATCTGCACTAAAATCACAATTTTCTTCTTTAATTTCTTGGGTTAAAACTTGATTTCCTAGCCAAGACAAAGTGAGAGATGGCAACGGGCATAGGGACAGCTGACAACAGGCAGACTGACAGCTTTCACAAGGAGCAGTATGACACTAAGGGAGAAGACAAATCCAAAGATCCAACTGTCACACTGTACAATGATGAAATTGTAATTATGATGTGGACTATAAATAAAATATTTGCTATGCTGTGTTTTATGCAGCTATAAACTATACATTTTATAGGTATTTTCTACTAAAGTGACAGAAAATTGTGTTCAAGAGACCCATCTTACTTCCCTAAAACCCAGTTCTCTGAAGATAGAGGTCACAACATTCAGTGTTCTTTACATTTAAAATATCATTGAAAAAATTACTGTCAATGAATAAATCAAGTATTTCACCTGTCTTCTAGCAAGGCACTGTTTGAGTACCACTTGCTCAACTGTTGTCTAGGATTCCTCATGATGTATACAGCATCTTTGGGACACAATTCTACTGCTGTATGGAACTGCTATTAGTAAACAAACTTGATAAATTCCTTAGTTTTCAGATTTTTTTTTTTTTTTTTTTTGGTTTTTCGAGACAGGGTTTCTCTGTGTAGCTTTGCACCTTTCCTGGAACTCGCTTTGGAGACCAGGCTGGCCTCGAACTCACAGAGATCCGCCTGGCTCTGCCTCCCGAGTGCTCAGGGATTAAAGGCGTGTGCCACCACCGCCCGGCTAGTTTTCAGATTTTAATAGACTTGTAACATAGACCATAATTGTGAGTGGCTCCAAGGCTGGTGCCCTCTTAATGTTTATTGAATGAATGTCAATTAAATTCTTGTTTCACAATTCTGTAGTTTAAATTTTTACTTACTTTTGTCACTTCCTCTGCCCAAATCTAGCCAGCATTAAAAATCAGAGAGAAATATAGAGCATGAATTTAACATTTTTTACAACTTAGTATAGAAAAATGTATTTAATTTAAATGGCATACTCTCCCCCTTACAAAGTGAACACAGTAGTAATATAAATCAGCATAGCTGAATATATTATGAAATCTGCCTTTTATATGTATCAACACTACCAATTTCAAAATCTTATGATAACTCTATAAATAAGAGTAACAGCTTTCCCAAATTGAGAATATCTGACCTTTCATAGAGAACCTACAGTTTCTCATGTCAAATCAGAGGTTTGAACTACATGATTTCTTACTTCTCTTTGAGGTATAAATTCTAAAATTTTAGTAAATAAAAACAAAACAAAGATATATAGACACTGAATGTTACTGATACAGCTATTTTTTGGGAGAAATAATCAGTTTGAAATTAATAAATTTAAGATTGCCAGTTAAATATCTTATTGTAAGTAAAGGAAAAACAGCTGTAAAACAAAATGCTTTTAATAAATCAAGCAAAGTCTTGCTAATTGTTTAGGCTATTTTTACCATGGACAAAAGGAAACCTATGATTTATACAAAATTAAAAATGACTGAAACAGTCTCACCCTTTGCAATTACCTATAGATAGGACAATGGAAATAAGTAAATACATTCTCTTGCTATATAATGAAAGCTGTAATTCAGCCAGGGCTTCAAAAACTAATAGTTGGAAACAAAGGCAAATACCAAAACATCAGGTTTATTTTTCCTGCTTTTAGCTCAATGCTAATAGAATAAAAGCAATCAATCGATGACCCATTAATTATTAAGTAGACTACTGATTTCTCACCACTTTAAATGGCAGCAATTTATTTAGATTATAATTCCAAGAATTATGTATTTTCGTGTGTGTGTGTGTGTGTGTGTGTGTGTGTGTGTGTGTGTGTGTGTGTGTAAGGGGTGGCAGTGGTGCTTATATGTAGAGGGCAGAGATTGACTTTAGGTGTGCTCCTTGATCGCCCTCCACCTTATTTTCTGACCAGGGTCCCTTACTGAACCTCCAGTGCTGGGGTTGTAGATTAGCACGGCAATACATGGATTTTCTTATGTGGGTGCTGGGGTATCCAAACTCAGGTCCTCATGCTTGCATGGCAAGCACAATACTGACTGAATGAACCATGTAACCAGCCCCAAGGACTATCAATTGCTAGAGACTAACAGGAATTAACTGCTTTTCTAGATTCATATAATTTCATTTTGTTAAAGTAAAAAAACAAAAACAAACCTAACATCTCAAAACTTTCTTAAATTTGAGCTCAATATGTACATTAGTTATTATAAACAAATTTCATTCTCTTATTCCAGGCTATCACTATTTTGAAATTTGAAGTGAGTTAGCACTGGATATGGAATAGGCCTGGCCACTGGAATTTGTCTAATCCTGGAATGGCAGAAAAAAAAATGATGCTATACTGAATTCCAATAACAATATGGTAAATAATAAAGTTATTAAACAAAAGAAAAGAACAAAAAAATGAAGTCAATTTGTAATCTTTTACTGTTTTCCAAGTAAGGTAAATCTTGTTAATTTTCATTACTAAGAGTAACACTGAAACTTCAGCCTAAACTAACACTAAGTTACCATCGTTTACCAGATGTAAAACAGCGTTACACACCTATGATTTTAAAATCTGTTTTGTACACACCTATATGGTTTTAAAATCTGTTTTGGCATGACCAACGAATTGGTGGTTCTTCAAGTTTCAGTATCACTTCAACTGGCATTTTTTGCCCAGACATAATCAATGCTTAACTTCAGCTACTTTGATTTCTCCATGCAGCTAATAGCAAGAGAAGGCATTTTATTGAAGATGTAGAAAACACAGTAGGCCAACAAACCTTCAGCCATTTTACATGCAGGAAGTTGAGCATGTAAGAGAAATTTACCATAATGTTATCTCCTTCAAGGCGGGCGGAGTTTAGTTGCTTAAGTGCATAGATGAGAGACAAAGAACACATTATACCCATGAACACACCAAACAAGTTACTTCTGCACAATAAAGCACAAGCTCAACAGGCATTATGAGAGCTGATGTTCTTTCTATTGAAAACAACAACCAACTATGTGTTTTTCTACATATTTCATGTAATGGTGCCTACCCAAAGGTACAGAATTGTCAAAACAAAAACCAGTTTAATTTCAAATCAGACTTGTTTAGGGGAAGCATACCTCTTTAAAAATTACAAATTAATGAAATTATATTTTCATCTATGAAAGCCTACTTCATACCAACCAACTCTGTATTTAAAGCGCCTTTCTATTTTCTGACTTTTTGGCACCTCTAACCATTTTCTGTTTCAGTTCTCAGGCAGATCTTCCTCATACTTATGAAAGGCATGCAGTCCCTGTATTTCTAACAAACTGAAAATGCAAATGTGTACAGGTAATGTTAAGGTTACAGAACAGTGCTCTAACCTACTGGGATTACAGGTTACAGATTTAGATTGCTGTGGCAATACTGAAGTCTACAGACAGAGCATATGCTATGTGAATTATCTGAAGGACCATTCTCTCTAAGTTTCCTTTAAATGCTAGAAAACACTATAAACTACTTCTTTTCTCCTTAAAAAAAATTAAAAAGCTAATATGATTAAGTTACCAAACATACTTTAAATGCACTAATTCAAGTTTTTCCTTGCTTCTCTGACATAATTGTTTGCTGTGGATTTTTTTGGACAGTTTCTCATTCACTCCATGCTGACCTCATTGTCGGAGAGAACTCTAACTCCCAAGTATTGGGATTACTGGTGTATCTATGTCTGTTTTATTATTATTGTTGTTATTATTATTATTATTATTATTAATTTTGTGATGCAGGGAACAGAATCCAGGGCAAGTATTCTATAGCTGATTCACATTCTCAGCAAAAGTCTTACTGTATCAACAAGCTATTAATTTTTTTTCTTATTCACTGTGAAGCCAAGTAGCTTTTTTCTTTTTCAATAAGCTGGTGTATTTTGAGAAATGCCTTTGATGTTGTTTTACCTTTCTTCAATACAGTAGCCAGTAAACAGAAATTAGTCAATACTGGATACAGGTAGATAGATATATAGGTAGGTAAAAAAACTTTTTTTTTTTTTTTTTTTTACTGATAGGGCTAAATCATCAGAAAGTTTAATCTAATAATTTGTGAATTGAGGGTGGCAGAAATTTTACAATGTTAATGAACTTCCAAGCATTCAATACAAAGAGAATTTCAAGAGTGAGAACAGGCAAACAGTAAGAATTATATTAGAAAGCAGAGATAAACCTTGTTCCAACCTTTACTAGGACAGTAGTGGGCAGTCACAACATAATCCACATTAAACAACAAAACACAACAGTGAAGTTCAACAATATCTGGGGTAAGAAATACCCTCTTTACTTGCCAACTCAAAACCAAGAAATATATCAGAAAGCGGGGAAAAGAGAAAGAAAAAAGAAAAACTAAACTTCCAGTGGTCTCTATCATTTTCATTTACTTGAAAGACAGGACAAAAAGTAATTCAGACTTATGGCAATAACGTCTGAAAATGAATGAGTCATGTAGGGAAAAGGATTAATATTTTTATTATTTGGCTGCAGATAATTTTGTCTGTACAGTGTAGCAATTCTAAACTTTACATAAATTGCTGGGCTATCCCACCTGTATCTTTTAATTCTGAACATGAATTTTCATGGTTGTATCAACTGCCAACAACTTTTCCATTTATCAAGAAGAATCAGTTTCCAGAAGGTGACTGATAATATGTAGTTCCTATACATCCTCATAGTGGGCTACAGTATATTAGTATAATCAAAGGGCAGTTACAGTCACATCTGTGTGCTTCCTGGCACTTTTCTAGGTTGAAAGACAGACCATTATCATAATAGTTGTTAAATAAATGTTTGTATTGGAACCTAGCAATATTATTCTTATTCTACAATCATCAAAGATTTTTTTCTACTCCAGATAATTTTTTTCCCAATGATCCTTATTAAGATTTTCCTGATTATAAAATTAGTATCTTAAAAGTAAATTCCTATTAATTCATTTATCTTAAGAACTAGAAACTAGCAAATTAATTTAGGGTCTCTTGTCATCCACAGCATTCTTTTATAAGTATTAATTTTACAGATAGTTTGTTTAATGGAAATCACACTGTAGTGAGGATGTCATGCTAAACTGAGAAGTGAATTTATAGTTACCATCTTATCAAAGAGAGCCCTTCCCCAGCAGTAACGAAAACAAAGGATCCATTTCACTATACAGTGATTTTCAACCTTTCTTTCACCAAAGGAAACTATACGGCATCACTAGCATTGTAGATATATGCTTATGATGAAATGATTGTGGCTGTGGTAGGGAGTCCAGATATTATGCCTCTTAATAAAACACATTCCTATGCTCAAATTAAAATGTTAGCTTCCTCTAACAAACTTACACTTGTTTATATCATACTCTTTTTCAAACTGTTACAATTTAAATCTAATTTAAGTACTGTACACAATGGAATGAAAATAGACAGCTTATCTATTAGATTAACTAAAGATTAAAACTAAAACCTTTTAATAAAAGTTATACATAAAAGCACTGGACTATCATAGACAATTAATACATAGACAGTTAAAAAAAAAACCTATTTTAAGGCTGATTTTCTAAAAAATATACCAGAACTTACTTATCCATATGGGTTTTCCTCTTCAAAAAAGCTATCTGGCAAACCATGGTAACTATTCAATCTTTTGGAACTATTGGTGACAATTCCGTTATTTATTTTGAGTTAGATATGGAAAGATAATTATTTACTTTTAAGTCACAGGCAAATATTCTCAAACTTGATTCATTTTCATCTTAATTAAAATCTTTTCCCATTTCTCACTATAATAATCTCTTTAGAAAAGCATATTAGCCATGCGCACTAAGAATGAAGTATAAAGCAGCTGTAGGAACTACCTCAGTGTTGGTGTTAATGCCTCTTGATAATGACTATTTTGTACTGACTCGGCTATATTTAGTTCTGATCAATCTGTTTCAAAACAAAAATACACCCCAACGCCATATACTACTCTGTAATCTGTATCTGTCACGGTGTACTAGTAAAATACTTCAGTCTTTGTAGTTATTAAGCTGAAATGTTTTTCTACTAGAAACAGATAAACATACACTACTTACTGAACTTTTAGTTTCTGCAGCCTTTGCCTTTTTAAGTCTTGTTTTTGCAGCATCCAAATCCAGTCTCTTATTCTGTAATAGTTTCCTTTCTTTCTATAAATAATCAAAAAGAAGAAAGTAAAGCTAAGGATGCTAAAATCCATAAGATCATCCACACTTAAGGAATCACCCTGTATGGAGTATGTGTGCCAGATCATAAAGCGGTACAGTGACCCCACAGGTGTCTTTCCTTTTTGCTTATTTGAGATAGGATATCCACTATGTAGACCAGATCAGGCTGGCCCTGAACTGTGACAATCCTCCTGACTCTGGTTTCTGAATGCTATAATTACAGGCATATTCTACCCGACATTCCCCTTCCCCACCCTTTTAATACTACTTCAAAACATCCTAGATTCTGAATCCCAGAAATGAAGGTGTATTACTTTTAGTATCTTGCCATATGTTTATACCCTCCCACCAGGTTTCCCTCTGGAGAACATTTGGCACTATCTTTGGTTGTCACAGCTGGGGGTGTTAATAGCATTTACTGGGCAGAAGCCAGGGAAGCTGCTAACCATCCTACATGCAGTCCAGCTCCCACAACCAGGAGCCATTTGGCCTACAGTGTCGGAGGTGGCCAGGCTGAGAAGCTGTTTCAGACTATCAGAGAGGCCTAGGACACGGCTCTGTGAAGCCCTATGTGAGCTCCCTTACAGACTGGGCAGGCTGTTTTTAATATGTTGTAGCATCAAATGAACTCAACTACTCCAAAACAGAATTTCAAATTTACAGACTGAATAATACATAAACATAACTTGTTACTGTATAATACTTTATACTAACTATAATAAGAGTCTATTTTCTTAATTTTTATATTCCATATATCAGATTTCATCCTACTGACATGTTATTATTTTTTTAACGGAAGGGACTGAACCCCAGCTTTCATCATGCTAGGTAAGCACTTTACTACTGAGCCATAGTCTTGGCTTAAGCTAGTATCTTTTTCAGATATATCAATTTAGGTCAAGCCCAAACTACTTATATATCCAGAGACAGAGCCATGATTAAGCATACTGATACTTCCTAGGACATTCTGTAGTATAGAATATGCTTATTAAAGTTTGAGGTTGTATGTACAACAATGAGTAGCACTGAGAAAGTTTTATGGGACAATATCCATTGAGAGCTTCCTTCTCTGTCAGCAATAAGACAAGCTTTATGGACTAACAGATTACGTTTTGAAAGAAAGTGACAACTTAATGCTTATGCAATAAATGGCATTTAAAAGTAATACACTTCTTGGAATACACAGATAAAGTATAGGAACAGAAATAATTAGCAGGTTTCTAGTTCCAGTTTAAATTAACATGCAAGTATATATAATGATGTTTTGTTTTCATAATTATTACAGAAATTTCTCCACAGATTTGAGTGTTGGTAATGCATGAAAACCAATGTACAGGCATACACATCAACAATGTGGGACTAAAATATGGGGGTCAGGTTACTAACAGCCTTTGCTTGAGGGTTAGTTTGTGTTCTGTGCCTGTTCAGGATATTTAAGTGTTTTAATCTGCAACATTTACCATCACTAAGAGGGTAGATTATTCATTAAAAACTAAGCATAAATCTGAATTATGTGACAAATGGAGTATTTTCCAACTCACTGCGATTGTTTTGTAATCCCCTTCTATGAAGTTTCTTAAAGGAGTGAGGAAATTTAAGGCTGATGTTTGAATCAGCTCTCTGTCAGCTGTTCCAATTCGCTTCTGTGTTTCTCCACATTTAATAAGGGCATTGCCTGCAAAGGAACAAAAAAATCGTTTGTTAGTTTTTTTAAAACTATGTCTAGTAATGTCAGAAAATTAATCCTATAACTTACCTATTTGATCTGCTCAAAAGTTAATCGTCAGCTTGTTTATTTCAGAATCAAACATTATTTGAAAGGTATAATTATTTAAAAGTAAATTTACAGTAAAAATCTAAATGAAAATGACAAGGATGAATTACCTGCCTATCACATCATAACTATAATTTCTAACAGTGAGATTAAAGAGGACAGATACATGGGAGACACAAACTTGGCCTGGGGATAGAGCCCAGTAAAAAACAAAGTATTTAAAAAGTAGACCAAGTTACAATCTCTCCTGTTTCTGTATCCATATACACCTGAGATATCCACGAATAAGAGTTTACGTCTTAAGAGCAGCTCATGTTGAGGAACTAAGGGGTAGTGTGGGGGTACTGAAAAATGGAGACACCACTATAACTCCCAGGAGCCCCATTTACTAGGCATGTTGTCCATTGGCAATTAGCACCCATGGACCTCTGAGCTTTCTTCTCCCCATAACAAGCGGCTCTACCTTTTTGAACTCACTAAACTATCATATGGCTCACAGGAAACTCTATACATCAAACTGAGAATGCTTGAAGACATTTAAAAAGCTTTATGTGAAATTCACTCATTTTTGATATCATATGCTAGGTTTGATGGTTAGTGTTAATTGTCAACATGACAGAATCTAGAACTGCCTGGGAGATGGCCTCTGGGCATGCCTGTGGTAGGGTGTTAACTGAGGTAGGGAGACATCTTCATTGTGGGTGGAACTCTTCCCTCGAAGACTGCAGACTTCCCTGCAGACTCTGAAACAGAGGATGAGCTGAGCATTAACTAGTATTCACCTCAGCTTCTAACACAGATGCATGAACCATCTCTCTTAGGTGACTGCTGTGACTTCCCTGACATGACCCCGCTGTAATCTGCAAGTGTGGGCCAAAAGAAACCCTTTCTACTTCAAGAAAAGGGAGAGAGGGAGGGAGGAAGAAATCCAGGCAGGCTCATGTCTCACAATAGTTAAGCCCAGATATTTAAACAGACTTAGAGCAGAGCACACAGAAAGAGAACCACGTGAACAGGATTCTATTTCCAGTTCTACTTTCCATAAACTTGGGTTCTGTAGATCTTAATCCTTTTATGTTAAAATGAGATTAGATCCAGATTGGGAAGGAGTTAAGAACTCCTGGCTCTGAATACAGACATTTGCATTTGAATTGTTATCAGTGTGCTCACAGAATAAATTTCCTTGTTTTTAAAATGGGCATGATAGAATTTATACTATTAACAATGTTACATAGCAAGATCCTGTCTCAAAACTCCAAAAGATAGAAAAAAAGTGAGGATATACCAAGATAACAAATAAATATATTATTATGTGCTTAGACTTATGCCTAGGACAACCATTTTTAGCCATTATTTTCTGGTAATAGATTCTCAAAGTCTAATTTCAATTATCAGGATACATTCACCAGAATTACTAGAAGTGCAAATAGATTAAGAAAAAGAGAAAATCTACAATATTTTAACAGTCATGTTCTACTAGAAGATCTCTACTAGGTAAAGAAAGGAGCTGGGCCTTTATGAGCTCAGAACAAGCAAGCAATAAAACATGACGTTTCTCTAAAATTAATTAAGTTACAATTTAATTTCAAACAATCATTTTTGATTTCTCAAAGATTTAAAATTACAAAGAACATACTGTAAATATTTCAGTGTTACATACATATTCAGTTGACTGGTAACATTAAATAATATTTAGGTTTATTTCCTTCTGACACAAAGAGAATATTAGCATAGAAACCTGAAGTAGTCCTATGTCATAAGAAAATTAGGTCTGGTAATAGAAACATGGAACTTTAGGTCCATGTAGGGCCAGAGATGGCTTAACAGGTAAAGAAAGGTGTTTGCTGCCAAGCCTGACAGACTGAGCTTGATCTCTGGGACCCACATGATAGAAGAGAGCCAACTCCTGCATGTTGTCCTCTGACCTCTGCATAAGCACTGTAGCATGTCCACACACATCCATGGAGATACACACATTCACACACGTACACAGAGCAATACAATTGTAATATAAGTTAGTACAGGAGCTATCAAAGCTGGGCTACCTGTAAACACATGCTAGATACATGAACTAGAAATGCAATGCAGTCTATGTATCCAGAGAAGATGACTACTAACATACTCTCGGTGCTGACCCTGCATAAGTTAAAAAAGGAATATGGCCGAACATTTACTGTGGGTGAAGTACTTTTAATATAAAACAAATAAGCACTGAAAATTTTAATGTAAGTCATTACAATTACTACTATAACAGAGGTAATGAAGATCAATAAGAACATGAATTCATTTAATTTTTAGATCTAAGAAAGCTGTAAATGCTCTAAATATGTATTTTTCCATCAAAATTTTAACATAATAAATGTTAAAACTGATTCTACCATATGCTGACATCTAATAGTAAAAATCTAAATGTAAAAATCTTCCTTTCAGAACCTTTCACTGTCACTTACCATAAGCTGTCCCTGGGCCAAACTCAGTCCCGGCATCAATCATATATTGTCCCAAAAGTTCTGGGTTGTTTATACGACTTGGTGCTTTTCTGTCCAGTTTCTCATAAACAAATTCTTCTATCCTGGCATCTAGGAGAAAGGTTAGAAATACCAGTGTTTCAACGAGTGAAAAAACCAGGCATGGTGGATATACTGGAACTCCAGCACTGGGTAAACGGAGGGGTTAATACTCTAGTCCGCGGCCAGCCTTGACTACACAGTGAAGACCTTTTCCCCCCAAACCAAAACAAATGAAAAGAATTTAAAATAAATTAGCAATTCTTTCAAAAGAGAAATATTATTTAAGAGTTTGTTCCCTTTCCAGCCACTTACTACCTCTTAAAAATATAAAATTAGCATTTATTCAAGTATGTATCTTTAAGTCAAATCATATATAATTACATGTTAACTATTATATTATATATATTATATAATCTCTAAAGGTTTATAGTTCAGAAACCTGGTACTGTATCTTGGTACAGACACATTCTAAAGTTAAACTTGGTATTTAGGTATTCTTTGAGATCTTAAGTTTCAAAAGAGGAAGTATAAACTTACTATCCAGTGAAGTTGCCTTTAATCTACTTGAAAGTTATGTCCATCCTTTTAAAACTAGAAATATTCAGCTACAGAAATACAGACATAAAGTATCTAAGATCCAAGAGCCACATCTGACACATTTTAGCATGAACATGTATTAATTCTCTCTTAAGGGACACAACTGTCCTTGGAGTAGCCTTCAGATCCATCAATAGTAGGACACCTAAAACTTGTGCTCACACGCACACATGCAGGTACGTGTGGCAGTCACAGACTAAGGTTTGCTATCTTCCTAAATTATAGTAAAGGGTTCGTTTTTTCTTTTTTTTTTTTTTTTAAAGGTCCTGCAATAGTAATGGAAATACTTTATAAGTTGGCTAAAATAATGTTATTTATAATACATAAGAGGGTTAGTTTGTAATACACAAAATATAAGAATTAGACAAAGTCAAAATAATACTTGCGCCGGGCGGTGGTGGCGCACGCCTTTAATCCCAGCACTCGGGAGGCAGAGCCAGGCGGATCTCTGTGAGTTCGAGGCCAGCCTGGGCTACTAAGTGAGTTCCAGGAAAGGCGCAAAGCTACACAGAGAAACCCTGTCTCGAAAAACCAAAAAAAAAAAAAAAAAAAATACTTGCTTTTTTTGGCAGAGTCTGAGGCAAAACCACAAGTATTTTAAAGCAGAACTTAAAAACCTTTAGTCAGGCGTAGTGGCTCATGCCTTTAGTCTCAGAACTCTGGAAGCCGAGGCAGGAGAATATCTGTGAGTTTGAGGCCAGCCTGATCTACTTACTCAGTTCCAAGCCAGCCAGAGATATACAGTGAGACCCTACCTTGAAACAAAAACAAAATACAAAAATCCAAAACCTTTACTGACAACCAAAATGAATCATTTTGAAAGAACCACCCATGAGTGCTGATCAGGTTTCAAGTTTCTGATTGTGATTTTCAATTATAATTGCTTTGACCTATATGGTCAAAAGTCAAAAGGTGAATTCTAAATTGATTTTGATTCAGTAAGTAAAGTATGTGGTATATTAGTAAACACTGCTTCATTTTGTTAAGTCATTCACCAGATCTGAAAATATGCAGGCAAATCTGCTATAACATTATGAATTTATGCATATTCTTTAAAAATATCAAACTTTTAGGACTTTCAGGGAAAATAAAAGGTTACTTTAAGTCCATACAATTTTATAATCAGAGCACAAAACAATCAACCTGATTTACTTCTTGGAAAACAATGGAGAGGAGGATACTGTGGGGACCGTATTATATTTCTCTACTTGCCAGTCACCGAGCTTATTTGCCATTCTGAAAAACAGTGTATACAGACTGTTCTACATATGTGGGTGGGACCTCTGGGCAGAAAAAGAACAAGAAGTAGTTTTAAAGTATAGCTGTGTATAATTTAAATGTTCTTTAATGAGCAAGAAACATCATACTGTGTTCATGGTGCCTAAAGATACGAAGCCTCACTCAAGGCTTACATACTTCTTTTTAAAAGTTACTACAGTTTACTACGCTGGCATAGAATTATTAGTATTTTTATAATGCTGGAATTTAAGACTACGGAATTTTGCAGTGTGTTCACAATAGCACCAGGGAAGGAAAATAGGCATTGTTGCCTTTTCCCTTTAGTTTTGGTATTTAAAGCGTCCCTTAAAAAGACATTGGGTCTTAGTTGAAGCTCCACTTGGTTAGCTTGCTATTTTGCATAAAAGGCTCACTTAGCAGTTCCATTTTGTAAGTACTAGTGCACACCTCATTTGCAAGGCTTTTGACTTTTGGGAGCCTAAACACTCTGTGGTTGTCTGAAAATCAAGTGTAATAACCTACAGAAAAACATGAGACTTAAAATGTCAGGCCTCTAATAGTGTTTCTGTAAACTTGTTAGGAGGTATACAGAAACTTTCACCATCTCTTCCTAACCCACATCACATGTAATAAAAACAGCCCAAGATCCGGAATACACAGCCTCTGCTTTCAACCTTAAAAACACTGACAGACAGTATGCAGGCAGAGGAAAAGTGAAATGTCTTACTTGGATTTGGCTGCAACAGCACTTCAGTCTGTTTCATTATTTTTTCTGTCCATATTTTGGTACATTCGGCTTTGCTAAGGAGGTTTTCCAAGTGAGCATCCAATTCAGTCTTCTCTGCTTGTCCAAGCTTTTCTTCTGTAAACTGTGATTATTTAAAATAAGCATATAAATACATAAACACACCTCAAGTACATGTTAGGAAACTGTCAATAGTGAAAATCAAATTCAAATCCAAATAATCTTAACATGTAAATATTACGCTCCAGGCCTAATTGTAAGCCATTGCTTATGAAAGTTTCGTGTGTGTGTGTGTGTGTGTGTGTGCGTGCGTGCGTGCACGCCTATGTGCGTCTATGGTAATTCATCACCCTCCTACATCCTACTACAGCACTATGGTGACTATCTTATGTCTTCTGCTAAAATGCTTGATGTGAATTCTATATTTCATGGTACATAAATATTCCTAAGATAAAAACTGGGGTTAGAATTGGCTGAATCTGAGTTCAGATCCCGACTGTATGCATGCTAATTGACACTGGCAAACTTTTCAGTATTTTTTTCCTTTTGTATCTTGTTAAGATATGGTTTTACTGTGTAGCTCAGAATGGTTTTGACTTTTTTCCTGACTCAGGTTCCCAAACAATAAGTATTTTGAGGATTAAGTAAGACTGTCTGTAGAAATAAATATCAGCTTAAAGCCTGGTCATTGTTATTAAAATCTGAAATATTTTAATTTTTATGACATATATTACTTATAAGTTTAATCATACCCAAGTTACACATTTATGGAAACTTCTAAGTGAGCATCACTGAGATAGTTTCTTCAGGGTATGCTCTCACAATGTGGTTTTTTTTGTTTTTTTGTTTTGTTTTTTTGAGACAGGGTTTCTCTGTGTAGCTTTGCGCCTTTTCCTGGATCTTGCTCTGTAGACCAGGCTGGCCTCGAACTCACAAAGATCCACCTGCCTCTGCCTCCCGAGTGCTGGGATTAAAGGCGTGCGCCGCCACCACCGCCCGGCTCACAATGTGTTTATAGGCTACTTTTTGCTACATTATTCATACAGTAGAAGTATTTTTTTAAAAAGATTTATTTTTATTTATTATGTACACAGTATTCTGCCTGCATGTGTCCCAGGAGGCCAGAAGAGGGCACGAGATCTCATTACAAGTGATTGTGAGCCATCATGTGGTTGCTGGGAATTGAACTCAGGACCTCTAGAAGAGCAGTCGGTGCTCTTAACCACTGAGCCATCTCTCCAGCCCCAGGAGAAGTATTTTTTATAAGGTTTTTTAAAAAAAGAATTCAAATATGTGTGCACATGTGTGTGTGTGTGTGTGTGTGTGTGTGTGTGTGTGTGTGTGTGTGTGTGAGAGAGAGAGAGAGAGAGAGAGAGAGAGAGAGAAAACGAACATGAGTGTAGGTGCCCACAGAATCTAGAAGAGGGCAATGGATCTCTGAAGTTAAGAGTTACAGGCAGTTGTCAGCCACCAGACATGGGTGCTGGGAATTGAATTCAGAACCTCTGTCTGCAAGAGTAATATCACAAACCCCTGATTCCAAGGTCAGTCATGTAAAATGGAATCTCATTCTTGGGACAGAGCCTTTACAGAGTATTCTTTACTTATTCTTAAGGGTTCCAAGCAGCAGACCTTTTGGAGAGGAATATACTCGAATTGTACATGTACAACTTCACCTCCAATGGCAAGGTCAAATTCAGAAAGCACAGAGAGAAAGGAAACACCTAGGTGAACATCACAAAGGGGGACCAGGAAGAACAACTTCTCTTAGCTTTTAAAGTATAGGCCAGTTGTTCCGTAGTCCACCATTCCCTCAACAAATAGTCTTCCTTTACAGATTCAGTTACATTTTATCTAGTGTGTGTGTGTGTGTGTGTGTGTGTGTGTGTGTGTGTGTGTGTGTATGCATATGCACACGTGTGGCAGGAAGAGGACAACTAGTAGAAGGAGGTTTCTCTCCTATCATATGGGTCCTGGGGGTAGAATTCAGATCATCACACTTGTTGACAAATGATTTTACCTGCTGAGTCATCTCCTCCTTGGTCCTCAATAAATATTAAGAACGTGTGTGTGTACGTGTGTGTGTGTGTGTGTGTGTGTGTGTGTGTGTGTGTGTGTGTGTGTGTGTGTTTTAGTACTAAGGCAAGCATTTAGGTTTCCAACAAAACAGGCAAAGTTTCTATTCTTCAGAATCTAACATTTTTGTTAAGAAGAAACAAAACCTAAATAATTAGAGAAGCATGCAAGGGTTTAAAGATGCTCAACATAAGACGAACATAGGCGATTCTATTTTTTTCTGAGTGACATATTAAATCTAGGTAGAGAAGAATAACTATTTGGAAGAGGAGGAATTAGGAGAATAGGGGACATCTTCACTGGGGAAGAAATGAGCCTGGAAGAAGGAGGGACCAGGGCTGGAGAGATGGCTCAGAGGTTAAGGGCACTGGCTGCTCTCCTAAAGGTCCTGAGTTCAGTTCCCAGCAACCACATGACTGTTCACAACCATCCACAGTAGGATCTGGTGCATTCTTCTGGCATGAAGGCATACATGCAGACAAAGCAGTCATACTTAAAAATATACATAAATAAATAAGTTAAAAAAAAAAACTCAGGAGGCAGAGGCAGGTGGCTCTCAGTGAGTGTGAGGCCAGCCTGGTCTACAAAGCGAGTTCAGGACAGCCAGGACTGTTACACAGAGAAACCCTGTCTCAAAAAACAAAAAACAAAAAACAAAAAAAAAAGAAAAGAAAAGAAAAGCAGCAGGGACCAGCCTGTGAAGAGTTTAGAGAGATGGCATTTGTGAGGAAGGAGCAGCTCATTGGCCACTTGTATACATATCAAATATTAATTTCCTTCTAGAAATCTCTGTTATAATGAAGACTAGATTTCCAAAGAGTAGATTAATAACAGAGGTCAACTTCATTATAAAAAGCATTATTTACTAGGCCAGTCTTTGTGTGAGGTACTCTTCTAGTAACAAGTTTGTTCTCTGTTAATAGGCAGAACTACCTGAAACACATTATCCAAGGATTAGGAAAATACAGCCCCCTTTCCAGTATGCAAAATGTCAATTTTGTCTAACATTTTAGAAATACTAGACTTAAAGTACAGATTAGAAACTATTAAAACATGTTTATGATAGTGACTCAAGAAATAGTCACTGAATTTATCAAGACAAAAAGGATTCAGGCAAGTTTTGTGACAGTATTTTCAGAGAGCTAATGATTAGAAAGTTAGTTATTTGAGAAAAAATACTTCATAATTTCAGGTTAGTAGGCTTGTTGGCTTATCATTTAATTTTTTTTATATTTTGGTCTTGAAAAATACAGTGAGAATGTAAGAGAGCAAAGATGATAATTACAGCAAGCCATGTATTTGCTATGGAGTTTGAGTCTTCAAAGAAACAAGAAAAAGCAAACCTTATATAACTTATAAATAAACACGTAAGTGTGATGTCTAATCATGGCTGTCAACTTCATATACCCAGTAAAAGGAAAACCAAAGGAGGAAGTGCTTCCATCAGATTGACCTGTAGGCACGTCTGGGGGCATTTTCTTGTGAATTGAGGTAGGGAGGCCCAGGCCACTATGGGCAGAGCCATCTGTAGGCAGGTGGGCCTGGTCTCTCTAAGAAAAGGTAGCGGTCGGTGTATGGGCCTAGGAATAACAATGTTCCCCTAGGTTTCTGCAGCAAGCACCTGCTGTGGGGTCCTGCCTTGGCTTCCCTTGCTGGTAGACTGTGAACTGTAAGATTAATAAACCCTTTCTTTCCCAAGTTGGTTTTATGTGTTTATCAGAGTAACAGAAAGCAAACTAGAACAGTGACTTACACAGTAAGAATTTACAAAAATGAGATTTTGCTTTTTAGTATAGAAGACAATGAACAAAACCAACCCTCAAAAAAAGTAACAGCAAACTCCTCCAGGATAAAAGGAAAGTTTCCCCACGAGTCTGAATGTGGAAACCTGTTTAGAAAACAGTTCTGGAGGAAGGCCCAAGCGAGCAAGCTATTTGAGAACCAGCAAAACGTTCCACATCCACATTCCTTTTTCTGTTTTGACTATACTCACATCTATGCTTCAGATTTCAGTAAACACAGTTTTGCTCTTTTTCAAAAAATTTAACAAATTTACCGTTACTGTTATTATTGAAAGGCAGATAGCTGTGGTATGTACGCCCAAGCTGGTCTTCAACTTGATTTTCCTGCCTTACCTTCCTGAGTTCAGGCACTGTATGTGCAACCATGCCTAGCTTATTTCTATAATGTTTTCTTTTTTTTTTTCCCCCAAGAAGATAATGCATCTTTGTCATGCTTCTCAATTTCCTAATATCAGGGCTTACTTTGTGTTTAAAAATCCATACACTAAGGTATGTATCTTGTTTACATCCGATTTTAAAAAAACCTACAGGGTAAGAATAATAATTCTAGTGAGGAATATGTTGAGGATTGGAGTGAGTAAACATTCTGTCTAGGGTGACAGTTTTGGGAGTGAATAATTACTATGCTGACCACAAGAAGGTAGTAATTTTTATTTTACTGCCATAATCCAAATATACATACTCTGTGCTTCCTTGTGCTGTGTATTTGTTTACAGCACTGTAGGTCTGTCTTTGCTTCTTGTAGGATATTCAGTTAATTACAGAATTAAGGATGGCTTAAATGCTATCTTGAATAAAAAAAAAATAAAAAAATGTGAGGGGGCTAGGGCAGATACATAGTAACACTGCTAATGTTATATTTCTATTTCTTTATCAAAATGTAAACTTATAAAAATAGAAATTTCCCATGATCTTACGTTTGGGGGCCCAACTTCTCAAAAAGTATAATCTGATACACAGTTTTTCATACTAATTTCATCTGTAGCACAGTAAAACGACATGAGGATAGAAAGTTTAATTCATTATATATTCTCTCTAAACAAATTTAAGGAAGCAGCTGTCAGAGTTGGGAGCATTATACAAGACACTGGATGAGTTAGTAACATTTAGTCACTTATACATTCTACCCTAACATTTATAAAAGTACCAAGACTTATCTACCTATTATACAGTTGAATAGTTTTGAACTCACGTTTCTTTTTAAAACAAGAAATTTAATTTCTAATGAAAATGTCTAGGTAAAATGAAAGTACCTATAGTGGTTGACCAGGGAATGGCCTCCTTTTTTTTTTAAAGTGCAATTTAAGCCAGGCAGTGGTGGCACACACCTTTAATCCCAGCACTTGGGAGGCAGAGCCAGGTGGATCCCTCTGAGTTGGAGGCCAGCCTGGGCTACAGAGTGAGTTCCAGGACAGGTGCAAAGCTATACAGACACCTTGTTTCGAAAAACCAAAAAAGTGCAATTTGATTTGAAAGGAGATTATTTGGAAATGAGAGAGCTTAGTTCTCTCTACCATTCTTCACTGACACAGCTCTTAAACTATTCTTAGCATGAAACTTGGCACTTTGGCACTGTACCCATATCACCATAGTTCAGAGCAGTAACTCAGAAACTGCCTAAATGCTGGAATAAGAAAACACTGTTGTGTTGTAAACTACTATGCTAGCATTCTAGCTTTCATGTTTTAGAAATACTCTTTTTTCCTTAAAAACTTTATTAAAAAACACTATGGAGCACGTCAAACATACCAAAAAAAACCAAGAAACAAAAAACAAAATAAACAACAACAAAAAACCAACCAAACAAACAAAAAAAACCCTAACAGTGTAGTGGAAAACGGTATAATGAGTTTCAGAAGCCCGTACCCACAATTCAGCTTCAACAACTACCACCATTCTGTTAATCTGCTCTCAACTACTTGGCCTCTTCTTCTGAAAAACTGTGCAGCAAACCTCAAACTGTAGGTTTAACCAGAATATTTCTGCATGTGACATTAACAGTTACAGACAATATAAAAGGACACTAAATACAAAAGGAGATTTTTTTCCATTTTAAATTTCCCCTTCTTAATAAATGGTTGAGGCCAAAATCTGAGGAGTCATTTTTCACACATCTTTGTCTCATGCTCCAGGGCTAATGTGATGGCCAACACTGTCAACTAAGTCACTAACAGCCTTAGCCTACCCTGTGGCCACAGCTTTCTCCCACCCAGTCTCCCTAGAGCCCCAGCTTCTTTTGTCTGGAAAGCCTTTCTTCCAAAATAAAGCCAAACACACACCCCAACTACATTTACTTGTGTCCCATTGCTCCACTAAGGCCATCCATCCTATTAGAACGGCATGCCTAACTCTCCTTTGTTGCAATTGTCTACTGTCACCACCAACACCTGGAATAGTCACAGCCTGTATTCCACTAGACTCTGAGTTTCATGAGGGAAATACTTCGTTCATTTTATTAGCCGCTAATCAGTGGTGTTCCTAATACGGAAGCTAAACATGGAACATATGCTTGAATAAGACTGAAAATTACTTACCAGCTCACATATTAGGATACAACTTAAAAGCCTTCTTTAAAAAGCACTTGAAACAATAAGCAATTAAAATTCATTTGGAAAGTTCAGCTTTTAAGTGTTTTTCTAGATTTACTTTTTAAAATTGAATCTTTCAATAATTTGGATTGAATTTTGTAAACGCGCCCTGGTGAGGCAGAATGCATTATGTGTCTGAAACACAGTTAATTATATAGCATTATGTAGTGTCAAATCTTTACTTAACAGGTAACCGGCACTAAACAAAAAATACCACAAGCTCGGGTCCTCTACTGAAGTCAACGTTAAGTCCACAATTTTTTTTTTTATTTCACCTCCCATTTATTGAACCATACTTTTCTGGGAAGGAAGGAAGAGAACAGGGTTAAGTATGGCAGCTAGCTTGTCACTCAACACGTCGGTCCAGAAAATCAAAAGCTAGATGGAATTGGAATTTCCCATCTTTAAGAGTTGCTCGCTGTTGATAATAAAATGTTCAGATTTTACCAAATGATCTCTTAAGTTCTTCTAAGGCCACATCATATTGCTATTCTACACATTGTAAGCCTGCAATGCCCACTCTGAGAAAAATCAGCTTCTAGTATAGTGGTAGGCCAGAGGCCAACTAGTTCCACACTAGCCACACAAGTCAAGCAAGTTATTTACATCTCTGAGGCTGCTTCCTTTTATACAAAGTAGGGTTGGTTCACAATGTCTCTCTAGCAAGGTGACAGAGAGGGCTGCAGCTAATATGTTAAATGTCCAGTAAACTGTTCATCACACTATTTTTCATAGGCTAGGCAGTCATTACCTTGGGGAAGTCTCCCATCCTTTTGCCAAGGACAATGCAATATGATATCAACGGTGCCAATAAAATTAGGGGAAAGGGTACAAGAAACGAAGCAACAGAAGAGAGATATAGTTTGCTGTAATTCTGGCGTACGGGACATTACTTTGGTCTTCTTACAGAAGAGAATGCTGTTGCTACCCCATGTCACTAACTTAAATACCAGATTGTTTATAACCCATGTTGTGAAATTTACATCTGTTCATAGATTTAACTGCGTTTGCATAACGTGGTGTTGACTGCAAAAATCCGCCCAAGTTCCCTATTGCCCAAGTTCCCTTCCTTGATTACAGACTAAGGAGACGCAGTGAACTTTTCCCCTCCAAGTGTGCCTGAAGCATACCAAATGTGACCACGGACACAACACCACGAACCCTGCCCTCCTCTCACCCCTTGCTCTATAGCCCACTTGGAGAATGGGCCAGAACATCCCTAATGCCAGGTCTCCTGCGCCCTTGGTGAAGTTTGGACACCCACAGGGACAGGCGAGCTCCATTGCCCCCACGGGCTGCTAAGCTCCTGAACAATCCTTCCAGGGCCGGAGAGGGCTGGTGGGAACAGAGCCGGCGGCGGGGCAGGAAAAGGAAACTCCCTTCTTGGACACTGCCGGGAGGGCGAGAGCCACCAAGGGGAAGACGGGTGGGGGTGGCGCAAAGGTGCTCGGCGTGTCTTCCTCGCCGGCTGGGGGCACCGAGGCCTCCGGGGCGGGGAGGGGGGAAGGAACCCAAGGAGTCCGGGCCGGAGGACGCTCCGGGCCGCGTCGGGACTCGCCTCGCTCGGCGCCGAGCGGCGGTTGGGCAGAGCGGGGCGGCAACGGCCGGCGGCGGGGCCAGGGGCGCCAGGCCGCGCCCATCGGCAGGCAGGCCGGGTCCTCGGCGCCGCCGTCCCCGCCGCCCTCCCGCCGCCCTCCCCGGCGCCACCGCCCCGTCCTCAACCGCCGCCGCCGCCGCCGTACCTGCACGGCCCGGCTGAGGAAGGTGCCCGCGTCGGCCGCCAGCTTCTTCACGTTGAAATCCATGATGTTCATGCCGGGCGGCAGCGGGCCAGAGCCGCCGGCGGGGCTCGCGGGGAGGCGGAGGGGGGGGGGGGCGCCGCGGCGGGGCTGGGGCGCCGGGCGACGGCGGGGCGGACGTGGGAGGCGGCGGGAGGCGGCGCCAGCCCCGCGCAGCTGTCGTTTCCTGAGGGGCGGGAGGAGGCGGAGGGTGTGGCCCGGGCCGGAGAGCCCGCGGCCCCGAGCGCGCGCGCGCGCCGGGCCGGCCGCTCCCACGCCCGGCCGGCCTGTCGCGTCACCCAGCAGCCGCCACCGGGATGCGGGCCGCGTCGGGAGACACCCACCGCGACCCCCGCGGCCCCGCAGTGTGGAGCGGGCTCCTCAGCGGCGGAAACCAGCCGGCCCCGGGGGGGCGTGGCCTCAGCCGGCGGGTCTCGCGGGAACAGCGACCCCTGCAGGGCGGCCGAGGACCCACCACCGGGCGGAGTCGCTGTAGAGGGTCTCGCGGGAACAGCGACCCCTGCAGGGCGGCTGAAGCCCCTTGTCGGGTGGAGCTCCTGGCTGACGCTCTCAGAACAGCGACCCCTGGAGGTCACTAGGGACTAATCCAGGGTCAGAGCATCCGCAGAAGTCCTTATAGGAACCGGAGCCTTCTGGGCTGGGCTGCGGTGCACCCCCACCCTGGTTCTCCCAGGGAGCCTCAGTGAGTATCTCTGACAGAAAAGCATGGACAAAAGTTCTTTAAGAGGAAATGCAGAACCGACACTGCAGAATCATTGGCCAGCATTTCCTGTATGTGGTCCGGTGTCAAGGGCTACTGACGGCTTGGGTGGACACCCACCCAGCCACCCTTTGCTGAACGAGATTGTCTTTATTGTCCCCCTACCCTGCTATAGCTTCACTCACTGACGGGCACTGAGGAAGTGCTGAACAGATCAATCCCCGTGATGGCTTGTGATTGTCTGAGGCATGTTTAGAATCATCTCGGAAACAGCTCTGGAAGGGTCTGTGAGGGCACTTCAGAGAGACAATAGAGGAAGAAAGATCCTACCCGGTTATGCATTCATTCACGCTCGAGTACCTACTGTCTGGCAGGGCCTCAGCCTTCCGATTCCTGGTGCTGGGATAAAGATGTGAGCCCCCACACTCGGCTAATTTAGTTTCTGTTTTCTGAGTCAGGGCCTCTTGTAACCCAGGCTGGATTCAGGTACCCGAGGATGGCTTCGAACTCATGTTCCTCCTGCCTCTGTCTCTGTTTTTTCATTCTTGGTTCTTCCCTCCCTTTCCTTCTTTCTCCTTCCCTTATGCCGGGGACCAAACCACTGTATCTGCTAGGTTCTGTTTTGCGATTCTTTTCATGTAACTTTCACCTTGATGTCTCAAGATGCCTCAGAGCCTCTAGGTGTCACATACAGTCTCAGCTCAGAAAGCAGACAAAAGCACACACCAGCTTAGTGTTCCTTCTCTCTCTGAAATCAAGCATTTCCATATCCCCCAGCTAGTAAACTTTGATTTCACATCACTAGCCAGAACGGGGGCATTTAGTTCCTCACAATGGCAATTCAGTCCAATAAATGTAATGTGCCCTGTTAAAAAACTAAGAGCATTTGTAAGAGAATAGTAGCTCTTATTTTTAACAGTACGAATTGTCATCTTGGACAAAATAGAGCTTGTGTTAGCGAAGAAGGAGAGACTCGTTATAGGACAGGCAACTTTTAACCTTTGCTCTGCTGGTGTTGTGCAAGAACTAAAGGAGTCTTAGGCTCCCCAGAACTTCTCTGCAGGTTCTAGGCCAGTTATATAATTGGCAAGAATCAGGAGAAAATTCTGAGGATGTAGCCCAGTGGGTTGAATTTTCCAAGAGTACATGTAAGGCCATGGGTTCCATTCCCAACTGAAAGAAAACAAAACTTACAGGAAAAAAAGGTGTGTGTTGGGGAGGGTGTGTCCTGTTAAAAAGTCCTAACAAACTGTAATTTTTTCTGTTGTCTATCTTTTGACTTGTGATAGTATTTCTAAAATTTTCTATTTAATGCCGTTTTAAACAAAAACTAGAAAGTTAAATTATTTGTGTGAATTTTGCTATATATTATTAATGAACAATAGCAGACAAGTGTATCTGTAAGTTATGATGTGGAATGACATGTATATGAGGGTTTGCCTGTGTGTATGTCCATGAATCACCTGTGTGCCTGGTGCATTCAGAAGCCAGAAGAGAAATCTCCTAGAGTTACAGACAGTGATCCACACTGGAGGACTGAGAACTGAATTCTGATCCTGAGCCAACTCTCCGGCTTTCTTTAACTAAAAAAAAGAAAAGAAAAGAAAAGAAACTGTCTATGTGCTGTGGTTCCTTCTGGGAAGACAGCATGGGAATACTGAAGAGCAGAAGGGTAGGCGGCTTTGACTCTGCAATTGTATCTTTCTACACTGCTTGTATTTTCAGTTTCTGTCTGTGCATAGGTATTCACTTAGATGTGCATGTGTGTGTGTACATGTCTACACTCGCATAACATATCTTGCTTTTATTGTTTATTTTTGGATTTTAAAATAAATGCTTTAGTGATTTAATGAATATAACGTATGGCCAGTGAAGTGTTCAGACAGCATAGAAATGAACAATGATGAAAGCATCTAGTAACTCCAATACTCAGAATCAGCCAGCGTCGACGCTTGGTTTGTGTCTTTCTCTGTAAATGTAGATGAAGCATGGGTGACGCAGGCCTGAGCATGAGAATGAGAGCAACGGAGGAATGGAATGGGGGGATGAGGTGGGGAGGAGAGGACACACAGTTATTTTGTATGAGGTTTTTCTTTTTCCTTTCTTTCCTATTTTTTTAGACAGGGTCTCTAGCCTAGGCTGGCCTTGAACTTGGAATCTCCCTGCTTAGGCTCCTGAGTGCTGGGATTCAGGTGTGTGTTTCTCTAAACCTATTGCTATCTCCTTTCTTCTCTTTTCCAAACTACTTGTTTTAGTCACAGACATGTCCACTTAGATACTATATTGAAGATGAGATTAATGGGAACTCATGTATTCATTCCTTTCCTTTGTCCTCTCTCTGCCAACTTGTATTGCTTTTTAAAATTGTTTTCATTATTGATAGAGAGTAAAACTGAATCAACAGTGTCCAATGTTATTGGAAGATATAAACAAGCATTCTTTTTTATTTAACTAGTTAACTTTTTGTGTGTGTGTATGTGTAGGTACATGTGCCCACACACATGCAGGACAAAGTGGAAGATTCCATGAGCCCCAGGGATCCTCCTGTCCCAGCACCCAGTGCTGGGTTACGGGGGCAGGTGACCAGGCCTAGCTTTGGCATGCATTCCAGGGATCAGGACTCAGGACTTGTGCAGCAAGTGTTCTCACCGTCTTCCTAGCATAAGCCGCCATCCTGTTTATTCCCAGGGAAGGGAGTATGTAAACATCTTTCCATCCTGCTGTCATCCATCAGAGGTCAGTCCTTTCTGTGAGTGGCCTGAGCTCTCCCTCTCCTACCTCAGAACTTGCATATTTATCCATCTTTCCGGTTTTCCCTTTTCCACAGGATCCTTACCAGCATGTAAACAACCCCCTCTCCCTCCCTTGCCACACTCACAAATACTGCCTCTATTCCCCATCAGGACCCTGGCCCACTTCTTATCCCCTTCCTTCCCATAGTGGTACAAACTTTTGAAAGAATGATTAGAAATTACGGCCTCAATGTCTATTAATTTCCAGATCACTTTAATGTGGCTGTTTCTACATTATTTTCTAGAACTATTTTTAGCAGTGATTTTTCTACACTTTTCATCTTAGCCATCATAAGAACAATATGATTCCAGCATCCTGACCACATCTGTAGTCCTCAAACGTGGGGCAGCTGCGATGGTCACGGGGCTGCTGTGGGTGAGCCCCTTCTGCTTCATGATCTCCAGGATGCCCTTCTGCCCCAACGAGGTCATTCCCCAGTCCTACTGTGAGCACATGGCTGTACGCAAGTTGGTGTGTGCTGATACCAAAGTCAACCGTGGATATGGGCTCTTTGTGGCTTTTTCTGTGGTTGGCTTTGATCTGATTGTCATCAGTGTATCTTATGTGATGATCCTGAGAGCTGGGCTGAGCTTGCCCTCAGGTGAAGCCCGTCTCAAAGCTTTTGGTACATATGCTTCCCATGTCTGTGTCCTCTTGGCTTTCTATATCCCACCTTCCTCACCCACCGCTTTGGCCACCATGTTCCCCGAATTGTGCTTTCATGTTTGCTAATGTCTGTCTGCTTGTTCCTCCCATGCTCAACCCCATCATCTATGGAGTTAGAACCAAACAGATCAGGGACAGGATCAGCTGAGGAGTCTGTAGAAAAGACTCCTGAGCCAAGGATCCCAGTAACTCCAGGTAAATGGTCAAAGGACATAATCAACAAATTTTATCAATTCATTAAACATTTCCAAGGTATCTGGCATCCCTTCAGAAGTGGAATGACTTTCAAGTTATCCAGAATAACAGTTGTGGGACCTTTTGTGGATAATACATATTTACTTAACCTGTTCTTGTCATCGTAAGAAAAACAAATAAGATATTTTTTCCTGTATTAAAGCACTGAATACTTTAAAGGAATGCCATCTTCTATAGATTATTAAGTTCAAAACATTATTTTTAAATCTTGATAGAAGTATAATTTGACATACAGTTTGAATGGAGGTTAAAAATATGTCTTAAACAGATAACAATTCATACATTTTCCCCACCTTGGAATCTCTTTATAGAAATAAAATTTTCAAAACTAAAACATGTCTAAAATGCCTATGTAAAGTCATTATTTATATCAATAAATATGAAACCAGGTTAAAAAAAAGAACAGTATGTATTGAGAATTTATCCATGTGCCAAATACAGTTTTGACTTGTTAACTTGGTGTGTGTTTCCTCTGGAATCCTCTGTTGCTTTGCCTGTATGTTATAACCCTCCTCGGATAGTCCTTGTACCTCTCTTGTTTTTCTCCTACATCCTTAGTTTTCTGGACTTTCCTGGAGATTTCTCAAGGTCTCACTTGCTGTTTCTTTCCTCCTTTCTGTAACACTGTTGCCTCCATTCAAGTGTCTGCTGATACACAGATGTCATAAAATTTATTTCATCTTGTCCATTAAATCTCTAAAAGGTATGAACTTTCCTGTCAACTATTACTGTAATACCATTAATATGCCTCAAGAAAAGTTAACATTTCCTCAATATTAGCAAATGGCCTATCAAAAGGCAACTTTCTAATTATCTCATATGTGGGAGCCCATTTTTAGGTTCCTGGTGGCTTTACCCAGCAGGTTGGCATAGAGAGGATGATTGGACCACGGGCCTGAGTGCAGGTGTCTGAGATGGTCTGCACTTGGCTGTGCTGGGGGGAGGTCTTTTGCTCCACCCCTTGGCGTTTCTGTAAATACCCTAGGGCAGAGATAGTCAGGGCCCGTTGGAATAGGTTCCAGGCCCTCTTGAGGCTATCCTGTATTTTCTATCTGTTTATCTCCACAATTTAAATCCTTCTATCTAATATTTCCTGCTGCTCTCACTCAAGAAAACTCTGGGGAACTGTGGGGTTGGTGGGTAAATGCCCCGAACTTATAATTATAAAATCCTACCAAATTTAAACAATTGATGTTTTCATCAAGTTAATCTTTTGCTTTCAACCCATTAATGTCTTTTCATTAGTCTTAGGATAAAGAACTAAATCT